TGCCTTACTAGTAGTAACAAGAAGCTATTAGGAACAAGTGCATCGCTAGTAGTAACAAGTGCCTTACTAGTAGTAACAAGAAGCTACTAGTAACAAGTGCAACGCTTCTAGTAACAAGTGCCTTACTAGTAGTAACAAGAAGCTACTAGTAACAAGTGCATCGCTTCTAGTAACAAGTGCCTTACTAGTAGTAACAAGAAGCTATTAGGAACAAGTGCATCGCTTCGAGTAACAAGTGCCTTACTAGTAGTAACAAGAAGCTATTAGGAACAAGTGCATCGCTTCTAGTAACAAGTGCCTTACTAGTAGTAACAAGAAGCTATTAGGAACAAGTGCATCGCCAGTAGTAACAAGTGCCTTACTAGTAGTAACAAGAAGCTACTAGTAACAAGTGCATCGCTTCTAGTAACAAGTGCCTTACTAGTAGTAACAAGAAGCTATTAGGAACAAATGCATCGCTAGTAGTAACAAGTGCCTTACTAGTAGTAACAAGAAGCTACTAGTAACAAGTGCATCGCTTCTAGTAACAAGTGCCTTACTAGTACTAACAAGAAACTAGTAGAAACAACAAGCTAATAGCGAACCTTGTTCCTAGTAGCGATGCAAGGAGCCCCTAGTAGCGTTCTTGCTCCTAGTAGTAAGGCCAGGAGCCCCTAGTAGCATGTTTTTTTGATCGAAAAAAGAAGACAAGCAGTTAAGTAGTTAACATCCTCATCTATCCTTCAATCCTGGGCCATTGTTTGGATCGTGTCTTGGAAGGTGAAGAAGATACAGGGAGTATCCTCCAATCTGGCGATGTGGCCGTTTGGTTGTATACAACTTTGGGTCAAAAGGTTCACATCATCCCGGTAAGCCGCTCATCCCGGGCGAGACGCTCATCGCAGGCCTTGCCCTTGGGTGATTTACTCTTGTTTAAGCTGATTGCTTTGTAGAGGCAAGCTTGAAAGACCTTGCAAAAGTTATACCCAATAGAGGGTCCCTCAAGATTCATCCTTTCATATCACTTGAGTTGTCCTTTCATATTCATATCACTCGAGAGCTTGCTTCATCCTAGGTACAGCATCCAATGGGATTTGAGGACGAGTGTGGCCTTTTGACCAATGCATTTTGTGTCAAGTTCCGCCCTTTTGCTCTTTCCCTTCTCTCCTCGTCTCTCCTGTCTTTTCCCTCTTTTCTTCTCTCCATAGCGATGGCCTCCAACCTACTAGCGATGGCTTCCAACCCACTAGGGATGGCTGGTCATTCCTCTCCTTCTCTATCTTCTCTCCATTACTGTGTTGATGCTGGTAGCAATCGCACTCATGGCCTTGATTCACTGTGAGGACGCAGATGAACTGTACAGCCACGCCCAACGACATGACAACCTGTGAGACCGACAGGGACACAACCTATGCCTTGTCACCGACGGCTTCCCGCAGATGCAACTTTGCAGATATTCAATCTGTGGAAGAAAGATTAGCGCCTCTAGTCTGCTAGGAGTTCAGAGTGACATAGCAACCACGCTACTAGTAGCTCCTGGCATTACTACTATATACTAGCAAGAAGCTACTAGTAACAAGGGCAGGAGCTACTAGTAGCAAGAAGCTTGTCTTTTGTTATAGAATCCAAACATGGATGTTTAAGGGACATGTTCCTCAAAGGGAGCTAAGCCTCTAAGCGCTTTGGAAGATTCCTAGAAGTGAACTGGTATTCGCGAGATTCGCTCCTGTCCGGACTTGAGGTATCACCGCAGTCAGTGGATACCCCATTTTTTTTCCATTTTTGATGAAGCAGGTGGTGTTGCTTGTTGGATGGCAACGGGATACCAGATGATTAGTGGCTATCCGGTCACGATGATGTAGGTGGTCAACCCGAGTGTCGCCGTTTCGCACGGCGTTTGCCGGCTTGAGACGCGAGCGAACACCGGGCAAGGCCAATCACCTCGTGGAGAGCGGAAAGGGGGGGGCGGGTAGCAAGATGTTCAGCAAGACTACTGACCCAAAAATGATTAGTAGCAAAGGGCATCGCTGCTAGGAGCAAGGTAGCAAAGGGGCATCGCTACTAGCAATGCTGTTCCGGATATGTCTCATTCCGTATCCTTCGTGGATTGGACCCAACGAAAGACGCCTCCGCTCCGAAGACCAAAGCTCCGAGGTGAGGACCGGAACTCCACCAACGACATGATCCAGGAGGAGGGGGGGAACGACACGGGGTTCGAGCGGAGCCAACGGGCCTTGCGAAGGAGATGGAGGCCATCGTTTGTAGGAGAAGAAAAGGGACCTTCTTGGGACGCCAAAGGAAAGAAGAACGCAGCAATCCCCAAAACTAGATATATAGGTGAGCAGTATCTTAGAAAAGACAGCAACTTTAACTGATCTGAGAAGTTGGTGTGGAACCTCCTCCAAAACCATGCCACGAGGCAAATGGCAACCAACCTACTAGCAATGGCCTCCAACCTAATAGCAATGGCCTCCAACCTTCTACCGATGGCCTCCAACCTATGTGTCTTTTCCTGCCTATTTACGCGACCGGTTGCGACACGGCTTCGATCCTTTTTGTGCCTCAGGAGCCCACCGAGCCGCATTACTTTACCATCGAAGACCTGTACCCGAGTGTCCCGGCCACAAGCGGAATGAACGGTGGAGGAAACTGTCGACAACAACGAGGCATTGAAGTGGTTGTGTTTCAGGGAATTGGTCTGTGAAAGGGAACCCGGGGACCCGGGAACCTGCAACCCGCCCTCCTGCCAAGCTGCTTTGATCGGCGGCTAGCACGGCACCGATCGGTCGTGGTGCTGCGACATGCATGGTCGAAACTGGAGGTAGAAACGGAGAATCTGTATGGAAAAAGTTACGCAACGGCAAAAAAGGGTTGGGGGGGCATGTGTGGGGAGCTGCATGAACAAACAATGAACTGGTAGCCGGTCAACCGCGCTGCATGAACCCCAAGGTGAACTCTACGAGATCTAGGTGAGACTGGTGAAACCTAGCAGGAACAGGGTCCCTTCGCCCTTGGGCCCGGGCTTTCCCGGAGCCCTCGCCTTTGCCTTTGACCGTTTTCCCGGAGCCCCTTGGCTTTGCCGTTGTTCTTTTTCGCTCCAACTCTTCTGGGGTCTTTGCATACGGGTTTTACCCGTCCTCGCTTCTTGACTTCAGCATTCAAGTGGAGGAAACAGTCAAACCTGTGTTGAAGCGATGTGCTCCAAGCATGGTACCGGTTCACTGGGTAGCACTCAAGAGGCAGATGCTGAGAAAGACATGGAATTCCAGCCAGTGCATCGACATATTTTTGATAGCCAAGAAGTGCGTTGCAAGACCTGCATGGCAAGCTCTTGGAGGAAAGGGTGGCTCAAATTTTGGTAGTACTTCTTGTAGTGAGACGCTCGCAGCGCAATGACAGCACGTGGTATCCACAAAATGCTTGGCCTTGGCGGGTTAGTTCAGGCACTAAGATAGAGAATCATGGAGAAGATGACCTACTTAGCGACACTCTTCTTCATCATCACGCAAGGAATACTTGGACCCCACAGGTGGGGGGTGCCAATGCGCGACTGATAAAGGCGCCGCCACCCAGAAGTCCAAGGCGAGCACCAAAAGGAGAAGATCATCGGCAATCCAATCTAAGAGCGATGGCTTCGAACCTAGAAGCGATGGGCTCCAACCTACCACAACTCATCTCAAAGCCACATCGTTTGTTGCTGATGCCGCCGATCTTCTGCTGGCTTGATGGCTTGCTGCTGGTCTGCTGGCGTACTATAGTGCTGCTTGTTTGCTGGAAGCATGCTTACGGGTTGCTTTGGGCCTTGTAGGCTTTGGTCGCAGTGTGTCTATGCACAGCCTGGTATTTACACTTTGTCAATTGACGCTTGCCTCTTACCTTACGTACAACTAGGGCCTGTATAAGCCATAGTTTTTTTAAAAAGAACTGGCTTTCGTTCGATACTTTCTCAGGTTTGTTCCAAGAGGTCGGCCCTTCAGTCTCCGGCAGGTCCAACACTCATAGGACACCGTCTGGTCACGACACGAGGCTTGGAATACTTCGTGACGTGCTCCGGATGGATCCCGGGCAAGTTTTGGGTGCCCACCGTGCTGATCTTAGAGAGGACTTGGAGACGAGGGCGTCAAACTGAGCGTGGCGGGATGTGAGTTGACGTGAGTTGGGTGTGACTGAGGAGAGACTCGGATGTTGTACTCGGATGTGAGTCCGGACTCGAGTCCGACCGGCTCCAAAAAACACGGTGTCCGGCAGCGATCCTCGCCTGAGGTGGCGATTCCGGATTCCTGGTCCCTTCAACGAACCGTCACCACCTCTGCCGCCTCTTAGATCAAACGCTCAGAGGCATGGAGGGACGCATGAAAGCGGGTGGGGTGGTGGGAGTGGGGGGGGGTCCGATTTTGGGCATCTGTTGAGATCAGCTGAGGACACGGAGACAGGGATATCGAGCTTTCTGCTTACGGTTTACGCTGAATGTAAAGATCTGAGCCACCACCAGATCTATCAGGCTTACCTGCGGGAGAGTGACTTGGCAAACTGGGATCTTGGTTTCTTCCAAAAGTCTAGTTTTTAGCAGGCTCGTGAACTTCACTTCAGCACAGGCTAAAGTGTTGTTAGCCTTGGAGGACACTGACAGTTTTCTTGGGAATCTCGACATCCGAGATTGGCAGCCAGTAAATCATGCAGGTCAAACACTTTCCCCTCTTGAGACCTACACCAGTGTGAGTCAAAGTCAGAAATATGGCCCGAATCGTCAGATTTCCACGTCTCGCTTGATTGCGACCGAGGTGAATTTGAATTAGGCTACACAGCACAGATTGACGACTGGATTGCAGCCTGCCAGCCAGGCACCAGGAGTTTGGTCTGTGAGTTAGGATTGTGGCCACATGTTAGCCACAGATCTGGCCACTGTCCGCCAGAAATAGATGCTTCAAAGATCTTCAAAGCTTTCTCAACCTCGTGTCGTACTGAATACTATATATCTTTCGTTGACTCATTTGTCTTAACCTTTTCCTTCTTGATGCGAGATGCTGGGTCCTTTCTGCGTGCGGTGTGTCACCGGACGTGTCACGTGCCACGCCGCGAAGGTGTGAGCTTGGAGTTGGAGGAAAGCGTCAACTTCATCTATGGTGCTACAGTCGTGACAGCCACTAACCAATGCAAACGAGAGATTTGATGCCATTCTTCACAAGAACGGTATGTTTATCCGGGTGTGACTGAAGGGTACTAAACTTTAGGCAAGAAAGCTTGTGATTGAATCACGGAAACCTGCCTCTAGCTCAGGGTCTCATTTGCGTTCCTGAGGTGAGTGAGAACGCCTATGTGCAGTGGGAAGCGGGGCCCAATCTAACGGTGACCTACACCAAGCCAGCCGATGCCACAGATGCTTGGTTCTTCGTTTGTCCTGTGAGTTGCTGTAGGTAAACCCCATCGGTCCCCTGAGTGTTTGAGTTTCAGTGCAGGAGTCCAACTTACTAGCGATGGCCTCCACCTCGTAGCGATGGCTGTTAGAAGCACATTGACATAGTGGCAACACAGAGAGCACTGCACGTCTCCTGCACGGAGTTGTGAGCGATCATGCTCATTCATTTCATTGTTTGGTCCTCGACCTGGATGGATTGTCACAGGCTTCCTAGCCACTTGGAGGTGCGGAAATATCAGATATCTCAGGTCGATTTGCATTGGGTGCCACACACATCGAAACATATATTTCTCTGTTCTGTAGCAGTAGACAGAGTGTGTTTAGTATACCTCCGATGCCTTGTTACTCTTATTACACACACACACACTTTTCCACCCACACTATCCACACATATCCACACTATCCATACTATCCACACGTATGTCTCGTGACTGAGGAAAGCGCTATTATCACGTCCTACGTGAAATTTACCATTCAGTCTCTCGCCTGGTGGACCGACCCCTCGGACAGCAACGAACAAGACTTCGAGGCGCGACCGCTTCATCCGACTCTGCTGAACAGGACGCGGTCGGCGTGGAGGGAGTGGTGGGTCCTTCGCATAAAGGGGGATTTTAGATGATCTTAGATGAGTCCAAGTGGTCAACGTGAATGTCCACCTCGGAAGAAGAAACCATGCAACATGCAATGCCAGAAAGATTCCCGTTGCCTAAGTCAAGCAATTTTTGACCCTTCCCACCGACGTTCCAGAAGCCAACGACGTTCCACCGTTTCGCCATGGGCAGATCAGTCTGTGAAGAACTAGCCACTTGTTCCGACTCCTGCTCCATTGATGGAGGCCTCCCAAGGAGACCCGTCCGTCTTCTCTCCAGAAGGATCACCACTACCACTGTCGGTGGAATCAATGAGATTCATTCAGGATTGAAAAAGCATCACCTTTCACGTCGCTGTTCACTGTCTTCATCGACAGGTGTTGGCCACCGTGGTGGACATCGGATTCAGTTGGCCGAACTTCACCGACAGCACGGTGCCCTACCAGATGATCAGATCCTCGGCTTCGGACGATCGAACTGTTCCGCTCCCTCAACCCGTTGGCCCCTTGGCCCGGCGACTCTGTGAGGTGGTCAGAATTTGCTGGCGCCGATGCATGAAAGCACTGGAGTAGCCTTGCCTGACGGCTACGAAGAGCTGCTCGACTGCTTGACTTCATTGAAAGGAGAAATTGGTTCAGAGACTGGGTGAGGTAAGTTTCATTTGCACAAGCAACGAAGGGCCACTCATCGCAGCTTGTGCCTGGGAAGTGGAGTTTCCAGAAGTCAGACTTTTGTCACTTGAGCATGATACATCCACGGTGAGATCTGTGGTTGCTGAAAGACCAAGCCGAGATATCGGGCTGGGTTAAAACCTGGAGCCTCTCCATGTAGCTTGCCCTCCCAGGTAGGTCAAGCAAGGTATCATGTGTTTTTTCCCCACAGCCATATCCCAAGAAGACACGGGATGCTTTTGTGACAACCGCTGGTCGTTGCATCGGCATCTATACAGGCTGGTCTTGGATGTGGGAGCAGAGATGTACTTCCAAATCAAGGCCAGGGCATTCAGGGCAGGGTTTCTAGATTTGATTGGTGCTTTTAGACGCTTTGGCTAGGCCTTGGAACCCTTGGACTCATATGACTACATTGACTCAGACTATGGAACAAAATGCACAATGAACGCCAGAACGCCTTCCTTCTTACAAGAACACTTGGAGACATCAAGCGGTTGAGCCATCCTTCACAGGTCTCGCAGACCGGGTTCAACTGGACTGAGGCCGGGACCGTGCACTGGAATTCGAGATGTTTGCCTTTATCGAAAAAAGAGATGACAAAAACAGCACATCTCTTTCGGACCAAAAATGCTACCTTTCACTGGATTGAACCATTCTTATCTGGCTGTGGCGGGTCAAAGCTGTGGCGCCCGAAATGACCCGACATGAAGAAACCCGGATCAAGCCACGGGGATATGAATCACCCACCAGCCCCGGGCTGTCGCGTGGGTCGCAGAAAAAAGTGGCTGATGCTTCAGGTCTCGCTGCACCTGATGTCCGTCAGCAGCGACAGTGGTTTCGAGGTGAATGCCGTTTACCTGGAAGCAGACGGCCAGATCGCCAAGTATTACTTCCAGCTGACCGGTCAAGGGACACAGTTTCTTGTCTTCAGTTCCAGCTTATAGGTGTTTTTGTTCAATAAGAATCAACATCCCATCAATTCTAGATCAGGGAGGTTGTATTTGTCCAGCAGCTCTGGGGTCGTCAGCTTTAGGTCCCTTGGTTGTTCTTTACCATGCCCTTTCAGTGGACTGAGGTTGCCCTTCATCTTGTTGTGGAGATCAGCAGTTTTCGTGATCCCTTTGTGGATCTCCTTTTCGCCTCCAGTCATCTCCGTTGTTTCTCTCACGGCGCCAATCACTACGACGCAAGATGTGGAGGCGGCGGAGCGTTTTGGCGGCCACCATGTCCAAGTAGATGGATTTATAAAACATCCAAGAAAGAATTCCATCGGTCATGGCAACATGAGGAAGATCCGTTGGTTGGGATCTTGTCGGCCTAACCAGTTTGTGCATGCCTTGTTTGGCAGTGACGTAGTATGACATGTACCACACTGTGGGAGGCGTCTTTCAGCAATGTCCCAGACTCCGTGGATGGAAGATCCTTTGCCGAACCAGCAAAGTTCATGCAGATGTACATCATCAAATTTGGCTTCCGGGTCGCATCTTGGGTTTGTGCCCAAGACTTCCATTGTTGTGCCCATGTAGAATCAAAAGACGAGACGGACGTGTAGTTGATAGCCATTGAGCAGCATGGTCTGCGTATTTCGCAGCACAGCATCAGTGAGGTTGAACCACCCATGGACGACCCAGATGTCACCTCTGTGTCAAACTTGTATTCCGACTGATGACCACAGTCTCACTTTCTCTTCGCTGCAGGCAAAACAACTTCGACTTTAAGCAATTTGGTTTTCTTTTGTATTAGAAGCACGTCGAACACATTGGCATGAATGGTCCCAATAGATCGGCCATGGCATCTGGCATGGCCATTCAAGCTAAGGCTACACACAGGAGCTTTGTGGAGCTACAAGCTTTTCAGGCACCTGGTCGTCTGGCAAATGCACATTGGACCCCGGTGCCTTGGAGGCTCCTTGGCAACCGACAGGCCCGACATCGCGACCGACTGACTCGACCGAAAACAACGACGGCCGTTTGCACGTGGTTTGAAGCGGCCTTTGTCCACTTTCTTTCCTAGTAGCGTCCTTGCTCCGTTCGTAGCGATGCCCCTTGCTCCTAGTAGCTTCTCCCCGTATATCTTGCTTGAACTTGCTTGAACGAATTGGCTTTGGAACTCGGTTTCCAGCCCTTTTGGAAAAGCTCTTTTGTGGATCAGAACTGAGGATGTGACGATCTACTTGAAGATCTATAATCACCAGCAGGGTGACTTTTTGCTGGACACTAGGCTCAAGTTTGGAGATTTGGCAAATCAAATCATCTTTTGAGTTACTAATGGCGATGGCCTCCAACCCAACAGCGATGGCCTCCAACCTAGAAGCGACATAAATATAGGTCATGAAAACCTCTGGAGTTAGCTAGTGTAATTGCTGATGTGTTTCCCCCAAAAGCTAACCTCTTTGGTACAGGGACATCTCAGCTACACTTCGTTACAATTCCTCCTCAGCGTTGCAAGGACATTTGTTACCCTTTGGACCCCTTGTTCACGCCTACGGCATAGTGCAGAAACGTGGTGTCGTCGGTGTGACGGTGTAACGGTGTCAGGTCCCTGGGGATCAAGCTGGAGGCCTCGCAGGTGTCATTAGCCGCTTGGCCGGACCTGGAGGCCTTCGGTCAGAACGATCCGGAAACAGGCAGAAGGTCTCTTTTCAATACTAAGAAGCTAGTTAAGACGCTTCAAAGACATACTAAAAAGCTTCTTGTTACGAGTAGTAATGGCCTTCACCCTAGTAGCGATGGCCTCCAACCTAGAAGGTCTCTATTCAAATTGTTTGGTTTTATTGACTTGAAAAAGAGTATGAGGCATAGGCTAAGAAGCATTTTGTGCGAATTGAAGAGTGAGAATGTCCATTTACAATTCTCTTCCACTTGGTTAACACCCGACACTCCCATGCGGGCGCTGAGGCTACAAGCAGCCGTCGATTAAGGAGATGGCCTCCGATGTGTTGAACGCATTGAGAGAAGGCATCTTGGCAGTAACAAGTGCCACTGCCACGCTAGTAGTAACAGGTGCCTTACTAGTAGTAACAATGTTTG